GAAACGAAATAAAACGAAACGAAATGAAATGAAATGAAATGAAATAGAACGACGTACGATCCAACGATAATATATTCATTATTCTTTATTATTGATAAATAATATCATTGATCGATACGTTTATTAAATGAACGAAAGCAACAAATCCAATGGACACATTTATCGAAACTCAGATTCCGATCGATCGTTAATCCGATCTACGAAGAGAAGTACTCTAACGTGATCTTGAATCGATCCTCTCTTGACGAGTTAGCAAAAAGGTGCCTCTTGTGAGATAGAAACAGTGAGAGAGACAGAGACAGAGAGAGAGAGAGAGAGAGAGAAAGAGAGATATAGAGGAGCACGAGCTGATGGCGAACGCGTGGTGGACGTTCCGCCAGGTGCGTAATCATTTCTAATGAAACGTTGTCATTTAACAGTGCGATTGTAAGAGCTCAGAAACTTGTTTTCACTTGTGCGAAAAACAGCGACCGTTAATGCAGCGGTAAAGACGCCTCTCCCGTTACAGCATTGCGCGAGCATGGAATACACGGGGAACACCTTCCATCGTTCCAGCCTCGTTTACGTACGTGTCGCGGATTTTCTCTCTCTCTCTCTCTCTCTCTCCCTCTCTTTCTCTTTCTATCTTTCTCTTTCCTGAGTTAACCACGTTCGTGGTAATACGACAGGATGGACATACAACACACATATAAAGAACGGAACGTCATTTCTAGAAACGTTCAGAAGATAGACGGACACGCCTAATCTCTCCGTGACCTACCTCGTCCTCGTCGTCGACTAGTCTCATGATCTCTCTCTCTCTCTCTCTCTTTCTCTCTCTCTCCTCTCTCATGCGCGCTTCGAGTCACGTTGGCCTTCGACACGACCGGGACCGGGACCAGACCGGACCAGACTAGACTGGACGGGACGTGATAGGACGGGACGGGACGGGACGGGACGGGACGAGCGCCTTCCTCTCTTTAACTTCGCCATTTTATGTCTATTAGACAAATGAGACTATCAAAAAAAAAAAAAGAAAATGAAAAAAAGGGAAGAAGAAGAAGAAAACGAAAAAAATGTTGGAAATAAGCTGCCTAACGCTATTACAAAATCATAAAAGATTGATTAATTAATTATTTAATTGATCGGTCAATTAATTAATTAAGAGGAAAGAATGTTAATTAATTTCTTACAAGAGCGTGTAAGATTTTCTTTCATAATCGATAATTTATCGTGACCCCATGAAAATTTTTCCCTTTCGTAGTTTCGAATTTAACGATCATGAATATTAATTATTTCGTATAATTTATTTTCGCAAATTATCGACGACTCCTCGTTGTCGTAAGGAAATCGAGGGGGGGGGGGGAAAGAAAAAAGTTAGATAGATATATGAGATATTAGATGATGCATACGTTCCATTCGCTCGTCGTGATCTATCCATCGATCGTAATGATTATTACGCTCTACACGATCATTATCCTCGCTTGGTAGCAAAATCTATTGGATGCTACGTATGATCATAAGTTTCTTGATTGAGCATGGAGAGCGTTATCACGTAAATCACAGATTCCAGCTTACTCTTTCTCTTTCTCTCTCTCTCTCTTTTTCTCTATGTCTTGTTCCCTGCTCTTCACCCTTCTCCTCCTTCTCCCTCCCACCCCCCCCACATCTTATACCTCTCTCTTTCTCTCTCACATCTTTTTTTCTGATACCAGACAGGAAGTAACATTTAAAGGCTCTTTGAAGATACAACGACTAGATCCTATTTCATTGGAGTTAAAATGAACACGAAAGAACAGTGAATTATCTGTAATTATACGATCACTCGTTGTATGTAGTATTTCATTATCGATAATAGCAGTAAAAGTCCTGTAATTATTTCACTACTAGCGACTTACGGCAAACGTGTCTTTCATCTGTAATGCATCCACTTACGCATAATAGATACCAAAGAGATTTTCTAATGATCAATTAAAACGAAGAATATCTTTACTTTATCTGTGATACTTTGTCATCTTTATATACTGCGAAAGGATCATTCAAATGATGAGCAAACATATGTCTCGACAATTTTTTTTTCTTTCAATTTTTTCTTTTTTCTTTATTTTCTTTCTTCTTTTTTTTGTTTGTTTTTTTTTTTTTTTTTTTCTTTTTTTTTTTTTTTTTTTTTTTTTTTTTGTTTTTTTTTGTAAAGAACTGTTATCTCCTCGGGCGTGTTCAAGCGTATCTCGTTGGATTACAAATATTTGCTAATATACATTGGCTACATCGAGATGAAAACATAATTATACGTTGCTCGAACTCTTTTTTCTTTTTTTTTTTTTTTCTTTTTTTTTTGTTTGCCATCGTTTAATTTCTTAATTTAGTAGTAAGACGAGTCTTGTGCAGTGTCGAGTCATCGAGAAATGACGTGAGAGAATTGTTGTTTGGAATTTTTTTGTTTGGAGTTTTTTTTTTTCGTTTTTTTTTTGTTGTTGTTTGTTTGTTTGTTCGTTCGTTCGTTTCACCGAAATAACAACAATGATATTTTAACAATGTAGAAGTGAATTATGATTCAGGAAGAAAGAAGAAAATTATGTTACCCTTTGACCCAAGGATCAGAAACAACCATACACCATAAACACCATCATACATAGTCATTGTGATAACATTCACTGTAAGATTTCAAAGGGTTTCTAAGAAGAACCATAATTTTCTCTAACCTCGATCGAGGGAGGTCGTAGTCGTTTTGAAACTCGCGAAAGAAATTTTTTCGTTTGAAAATAAAACGTCGATTGGATCACGTTCGCATAGAAATAATAGGATTTTCTTTATCCTCCATTTTTTATCCCAATAAACGATTATATCATAAATATTCGAAAACAAAAGATTTTGAATTTAGGAAATAGAAAGGACGATTTCTAAGGACGTTAGAATTTTAGCCACGTTCGTAATATCCTCGATACTCGTAAACTCGAAAAATCCTTTTTAACCAAAAAAGTGAATAAGAAAAAACGTATATATATATGTCTCACCATGGAATTATCTACATTTTATATTACAATGTTAAATACATGAATCAACAGAATCGTAACTCAACTGGTTAATTTATTCAAGAGTTCCAAGAAAATTCATTTTTACATTTCCATTCGTGACGACTAATAATAATAATAATAATAATTGAAAAAGTAAATTAAAAGAGGTATATATATATATATATATATATATATATATATATATATATACACATATATATAATAAAGCAAAAAAAAACACAAGAAAGAAAAAAGAGAAAGAGAGAGGGAGGGAGGGGGGAAGAGAGAGAGAAAAGAAAAAAAAAAGAAAAGGAAAAAGACAAAAATAAACTTGGTTTAATCGTTGAATTCTCAGGTGGTTGGCTTGAAGAACGTTGGTAGCAACGGCGACATCTGGCCGCTTGAAAGGCCAGAGGGCATGCCGGCCATCCAATCCCTCGAAGTGATGTGCGGAAAGGATCACATGGACGTTCATCTCTCGTTTTCGCAACCATTCGAGGGAATCGTTTCGTCCAAGGGCCAACATGCCGATCCTCGATGCGTTTACGTTCCACCGTCAACAGGACAAACGTTCTTCTCATTTCGTATAGCATATGCCAGGTGAGATTAAGATAAAAAAAAAAAAAAAAAAAAAAAAAAAAAAAGAAAAAATTAATATCGTCGAAATAGATTTAAAGAAAAAAAAAAAATAAATAAATAAATAAATAAAAAATAAAGAAGAAGAAGAAGAAGAAGAAGAAAGGAGAAAAAAAATCCAATCGACCAAAAATCATTCGAATTTTAATATAAATCTTATAGATGCGGTACAAAGCCGGACATGCACGGACAATTTTACGAGAATACCGTTGTCGTTCAATACGATAAGGATCTACTTGAAGTTTGGGACGAAGCTAAACGATTGCGATGCGAGTGGTTTAACGATTATGAGAAAACTGCATCGAAACCGCCGATGGTGATAGCCGATCTCGATGTTATACAATTAGATTTTCGAGGTAAATTTTTTTTACACAGTTTATCGATCATCAAAATTTACGTTATATCTGTCGGAAAGATTATAGATAGATAGATAGATAGATAGAGAGAAAGAAAGAGAGAGAGAGAGAGAGAGAGAGAAGAGAGAGAGAGAGAGAGAGAGAAAGAAATTTTGATAATGATATCACGTAGCTAAATGCAGTGGGCAGATACAACAATGTGATCATCTTCGTGGTAGAAAGAGTTTAATGCGCGGGATCGCACTGTAGTCGTATACACGAGGACTCGTGTATCCGCGGTTGACCACAGGTGTGGAACCGCAGGATCGCTACTTAATTTCAGCTTTCGTAACGTGGATACATCACGCTTAGGAGCCACAACAACAGAAACAACAGCAACAGTAAAAGGAACAATAAAAGGAGGATTTCGATGCGAATCGATATTTTCTTTGTTAGAAAAGTTCTTTCCTTCTTTCTTTTTTTTTTTCGTTTTTGTTTTGTTTTCCTTTTGTTCTTTTTTTTTTTTTTTTCTTGTTTTTTTCTTCCTTTCGTACTCGAAAGAGAAAATAAAAATGACGCGAATCATTGAGATTTTCGCGTATTAGAAAAATTTAACGGTCGTCGTCATTAAGATAAAAGAAAAAAAATTAAGATCGTTGAAATCGATTTAGAAAAAAAAAAAAAAAAAAGAGAAAAAAAAAGAAAAAAGAAAAAAAAAAGAAAAAGAAGAAGAAGAAAGGAGAAAAAAATCCAAGTCATAAGAAATATTGGATATTGAATATTCGTAAAAGGGATAAGAATCGAAGATTTTATATTCGAAAGGGGACAATGTGGACTGTTGGATGGAAATACAACATGGGAAAGGACCATGGGCTCCGCCAGTGTCTGGCATCGTTCCTCTTGGCTCGACTCTAACGCTGGTCGTCGCGATAAACGATTACCGAGGTAACGAGCGACAGAACTCCCAAGGTACACGAGACTCCTTGCATACCTTACAGACGAACCTGCTCTAACATAACTCTCGTTATTAAACTGGGCGCAGGTGAGTTCGACATGCGAGTCAAATCGTGCGTAGCTTCGGACGGCGGTGGACACACGATACAGCTCAGCGATGAGTTCGGATGCGTTCTAAGGCCTAAGATGATCAGCCGTTTTCTCAAGGCCAGAGGATCGGACGATCGCGCTACTGTTATAACATATGCTTTCTTCCATGCATTCAAGTTTCCTGATGCTCTTAGCGTCCATATCAAGTGCAAGGTGAAACGTCATTAGGATTAAGAATATGCGTTTTTCGTTTTTCTTTTCTTTCTTTTCTTTCTTTTTTACTTTTTTCTTTTTTTCACCCTTTTATTTATTTATTATCGTTTTTTTTTTTTTTTCTTTTTTTTTTTTTTTTTTTTTTTTTTTTATACACATATATCCTTACCAAAGATTTTTAATTTCTACGTTAAGGTGGAGATCTGTCGACACGGTTGTCTCGATCACTGTCAACTTAGCGGCTCGGTAGGACATTACATTCAAGAACGTAAGGATCAGATCCTTCAGCAATATCACCAGACCACAGGAACGCCCATCATTCACAACGACGATAATAACAGTGCGGAGAAAAACGAAGGGGGCGTAAACGACGAACAAAACGACGGATCTCTTTATGACGACATCATTCAGAACGGTGACGAGATGACTTCGATAGGCGGACAATTTCTTGGCGTCGAGAAGTCAGTTGTAAAGGCTCAGCCACAAACTAGCAATCGACTTGCAGCTCCCGTGATAGAGACGCAAAACGAGGACGACGTACATCCGGACGATCTTTCACGGCCGTTCTTGGTAATTATGATTTATTTTGATTTATAGCTTCCGCCTTTATAACGCCCTCTTGTAATCATTCCAAATGGCATCGTAAATACTATCTTTCTTTATACGCGATATCTTTGTAATTGAATCGCTCCAATTGCCCAATTGCCATCAATTATCAATCTTATTATATCTTGTTTTCTCTACGCTTCGAATTTTTCCAATAGCGACTATACAGAAATTCGTTCAAATTCATTATACTTCCTATTTTTTTTCCCATTGACACAGTGATCTCTTTTAAAGAGATTTTTGTTTATAGTTAAAAAAAAAAGAAAAGAAAAGAAAATAAACAAACTTTCTCTTGAACAAATTAAATATAATTAATACGATTGCGTTAAGATCATATGTATATTATTATTATTTATATCATTAAATGGATTAAGTATATTATTATAATAATTGATATATCCTTTGAACTTTTTGCATCTTTTATCTCAGGAACCACAGAGAGTTACGAGATACGAGAGCGACCGTGAACAATTCCCTCACGGGCCACGTAATTTAGAAGAGGACGGAGGTTCAAGACCTGTGACACCTTTGTCTTCGGCTAACGTGAGGCGAAAGAGATCGGTGGTGGTGTCGGACAGAAAGGTTCGAAGTGCGGACGTCGGTGTAAGCGGAATTTACGAGGTAATATCTGAGGCTGACCTGGCCTTCAGTCCGGATACCCACGCCGAGGCCGTGACGGTATTTCAAGGTAGAATAAGGGAGGAGGTTGTATATGGTATTTGTTTGCCAATGCCAGGCTTCAGTGCATTGTTCGTCGTCGTAGCCCTTTCAGCCGTAGTCTCTGCATTAGTTGCCGGTGCTATGTTGCATCGATTGCAAGCACAACGTGAAGCGGTCGTAGGTAATAGCAGAAAAAATCGACCGGTCGCTACGACCAACGGTTGGTTGCTTTATGGTTTCCTTCGTGTACGTTGTACGACGAGACCACAACCACCACCGCCACCACCGCCACCGTCATCGTCCTCATCCTCGTCGTCATCGTCGTCATCGTCGTTATCATCGGCAACGTCATCGTCATCATCATCATCATCGGCGCAATTGCAAAAACAAACGAACGAGATCGTCTCAAGGGAGACACCATCGATCGAGAGAGGCTGATCCGAAAGTTAACGACTCCAGCGACTCGACGAATATAATCGGACAGCATTATCGGACAGTGATAAAATGCTCTCCGAGAGACTATGTGCAATAATACGCTGTACAAAGTAAAACGTAAGTGCGTAGGATCGCGCCCGAGTAATCTCCCGAGTCGTATTTAGTCGAGAGTAATAGTCTCTTTTCCTTTTTTTCTTTATTTCTATCTTATTTTTCTTTCCAACGCATTTCTTTCCTTTTTTTTTCATTTATCTTTCTTCGTTATTCTCTTCTTCATCTTATTCCGAAGTACATCCTCGAAAGATTTAGTCGTTTGTATTCACGGGACGCTGATCTTCGATCGTTCGAACTATACTTCTCGAGCCATTAATGCCAAGTCGTATTGTCTCTCTTTTTTTTTTTTGTTTTCCTCTCTCTTTCTCTCTCTCTCTCTCTCTCTTTCTCTCTCTCTCTTTCTCTCTCTTTTTCTCTCTCGAAGTCAGAATATCGTGAAACGATATTTAAGCGATAATAGCGAGACGTGTCTGGAAATATACAACTTCTTCATTGCCGATACATTCGAGAAAAGATCATTTCTT